TGTAGATGAGCCATGGCCTGTCCCTAAAAAAGTGACGCTCAGTGGTGTTCCATTTCCTGTGGTTTGCAAACCCCATTCCTGATATAAATATGAATACAAAGAGGGCGTGACAGTGATTTCCTTCGAACCGGAGGCGTCTAAACCCTCTCAGGGGTGAAGCAACCAGTGTTCTGGCTTAAAAAACTGTCATTCCTCCCACAAGCTGGCTGCAAACACTACCTAGAGCCTATGGTGGGTGAGAGTTGCAGTGGTAGCATCAGATGGCGAACGGATCCCCCGATTACCTTTTTCTTTACCCTTTCGAATCAGCTTCGGGTAGAATATTCTGCTGTTGTAACAACATCTAACTGCCACTTTTTGCAAGTAATCTGGGGGTGTATACTGTTTTCAATATCGGCCGTGGTAATGCGCATAATCTGAGATTAATTGAAATTATTTAATCGTATTAGTTAAAACCACAGAAGCAACAACATAAGCTTCACAAATCCGAAAGTTGTCTAAAACGGCAGTGCTTGCTGGCAGTAACAGAGTCAGCTCGTTCCTTTGACTCAATCATTCAATCCCTCAGCCTTTATCATCTGATTACGAGTAGTGTGCACGTGCATGGCGTATCCTTAAATAACAGAGATCTCCTAACTCTCATTCCTGTACTTTTCTGCTTCCTTATGGATTTTGTCCGTTTACTATGATCCATCCGTAAGTTGTCCGATTGCAGATGAACTACTCCGCTTATTGGATTGTACTAGTTGTCTGCTCGATTTTCCTTCCCCGACTGACCCATGCAGAATTGTCGTAAGTTTTTAGTTTTGGGTATTTTCAAAGGTTCCGTATCATTTTCTTCAATCATGTTCTCTATGAATATAATTATTTAATTATTTATACGCTTAATGGACGCTTTCACTCAGCACATTCATAATAGATCACTATTAAAAAGTGAACATACTAGACTATCATACACAGAATACAAAGAGATGACATCATGTGTTACGATGCCATTGGTGGCTCCATGATCCAGTATGGGCCGATCCCAACCCATTCCCAGATAATCACTCACACCCCGTGCCTCTACAGAGAGGAAATGGAAGAATGCCACCACAAGTAGCGATCGTGTAGTGGGGATGCGGTGTCCGTATAGGGGACCAGACGTCTCCCAGCGCAAAAAATCGAATGTCAAAACTGATTTTAATTTTCATAATTTAAAGAAGTACGGTTGATACTTCCTGGAGCTCCTTCTCAAGTTCCTTAGTGTTTCACTTTTCCGAGACTGTCATAGGCCCCAGTGAACTCAAACTTGCGACTCGGAATTTGTCTGAAGTACCACACATTCGATGTGAGAATCAAGAACGTGTCCCACCTAAAAAGGGCTCATTCCCAAAACTCTAATGTTCTTCGTTATAGTGTTTTTCGCAAGATTGATGATTGTGATTTTTGTGATGGAATACAAAAAAATGCGATACATAGCTTATTGTTAATCTCGGCTTTGAATGGCTGACTGGAGGAAGGTGGGGTTTAACAGACTTAAGCAAAGAAAAGCTCTTTCCTGATTGCAAAATTGTTTCCCTGATTTAGATGGCAACAGCAAAGTAAACACTAAGCCTCTGTGCAGATGCATTACTTGCAAGGGAACATGCCTTCAATTTACATCGGTCAGGCTGGGGAGGTACCCATTGGTTTACTGACCTATGGTTTTAGAGAACAGATTCTATAATATTTTTCCTAAGCTTGAAGTGACTCTGCATGAGCAGATCTATGGGTACTCCCCACTGTGGTCATTGCACAGATGCCGATGCACAAGCTACCATGCCACAGCTCTACATAAAAACCCAGCGTCATACCCGCAAGGTAAATGATCAACCCGTCTGAGAAGGAGAATGTTTTGTGATCAGGTTAACTACAGCTTCGTCTGGTACCAGCCATTCCCTTCTCCTCCTCTCGAGTCAAACAACAAGGCTCTAATGGTACATCAGTATGATGCCTAAGAACATCATGCATCATACGTCAATGTCAGTATGCAAACGAAAAAAAAGCGTAGAGCCGTAGACCAGTCCCAATCTCAGAATACGCTTCGGTGTTCGAGCCCATTCAGAATCGCTATAATGTTCGAAAGCACTTCTGGCTTGTGGTAGGCAACCGCCTTGAAAATCACTATTCTCCCAGACTATTCTGATATCCCTGAACAACCCCGAGTGGATAAAAAACCTGGATAGTCTGGGTGAGTAACAATCCAGGATTCGATCTCCGGACCGTACTTGTGATGAGGCGTCAATGATCCTCACCCAGAGGCATGTAATCATGGTAATCAGCCTCAGTCACACAATCCTTTTGGGGAAACCCGGGAGACAATGCCGCTTTTCGTAACTGCTTGAATGACACAGTTAGGTAGTAGCAAGTGATACGGAACCTCTTTTCCTGGAACAACCTACCTTGTCTACAATTCTCCCGACTCGGAAGGAATCAAGGGCCAGAACCGTCGTAGTGTAGCCTCGAATGATTAACATGGATACATAACATTAACAACATTCGTCTCTTGCAACTGTTTAGCTCTTTGACATTAGATTTCTACCAGTTAATCGAATTCCTTCCATTCCACTAGGAGGAAATGAGACACTCATCTCTTAAGGATTACAGCATTATAAATGGTTGTCACATAAAACAACACGACATCTTTTACAAATCGAATTATACATCATAAATTGTCATCATTTTAATGAAATGAACTTTAGTCTGATCGACTACCGAATCGTATCACGAGTGAACCGGAACTGCTTTTTCTCACCAATCGGATGTGTATTCCTACATGGTGGTCGAGATTCTCGAGCACATCGTCATAAAGCAAAGTCAAATGTCCGGCATGAATGAATCCATTTCTAGACGGTTCTATTAGGCAATTCTAATGATAGAGATACTGTTTTCCGTATATGTTGTACATATGTTGCCGTTTAATGAATGTTTGCAGAGATATGAGTTTCAGTTCCACTGACTGGTCATTACATACCTCGCTCACTTCCAAATCCAGGGGAGATTTTCATTTCACTGAGAGATCCTTTCAAGAACACATAATGGACCTTTTCTTTGGTCGTATTCATAAACCACAATATTTTAAAATCAGTCACTGAACATGTTTGCTGTGAACTTGAACTTGCAAGAGTAGTCGTACTAGAAACTGGAGTAAAGATGAAATTAGATGGTAATGGTTCTGTGATAATAGTTATGCAATAGTTTCCTCTTACCCAAACTTTCCAAAGGTAATNGTGATTAATGACGTTATCACACATACTGCTTGAACGAGCTTTTCAATTCACAAATTAACTTCAGCTATCATTTGTCTTCCCACATGGGAGTCTCGTAGTCGGTGTATAAACACTAGTTTTTTTTCTGCTAAATTTGGCTAAAAATGAAGAATTGTAAGTCAATTAGTGCTTCATTCAATCAGCTCCTTGGTGAGATACGGAGCAGAGGGCAGTAAAGGTACGCGGCGCGGTACTACACGATAATTCAGAGGATAGAACTCTGCATTGATATCTCCCTAGGCCAACCTAGCCTTGCATTCCTCCGGGGCCGGTCAGTTATCAAAGCTTTGAATTGTACATCAGTTGGCCAGTGCAAGTTCTTGTTGGCTACATACATTACATTCGAGACGCCACTGTGATCCTGGTTGGAAGTCGAATGCAAGGCGTAGCCTCAGAGTGAGATTGATCAACGCCAAGTCTTTATCCTTTATACTACGATGCAGTCCAGAACAAGCTGTCATGCCAAACTTTCATGGATGTAATTCACGATTGTAACTTTTCAGAGGAGTGCATCTCGTAGAGCGGAAAAAGACGATTCAGGTACATATTACCAACTATCAGTGAAAATTACTAGTATCAGCTTTAACGAATAATCGACTTAGCTTAACCCATGATGTGGACATGTGCTTCCTTCGACGGAATTCGATTAAAATGACGAATTCGAGGCTCTTCAGTGTAAGCAAATATGTTATCCGATTAAGCTAGCGTTGCAGTGTTGCAACGGACTTTAATCGACATTAGGGAACATCTAAACTGTGTTTCCTGAACTGGAATTTGTAAGTTGTAATCATTACGCTATTCTTTTCTTGGAGGCAGTTCAGTGATTGGAGGCCCTCTATAATGCCTTTTGAACAGTCATTCCAGACCGGGAACCTTTTTTCCTTTTCGAGAATGACTTGTTAGAAAACCTTATTTATGTCCGGAATAGATAAGACAGGTCCTGTAAGTAATCGCGTAAGCTTGGCAAGGAATCAAGTACCTCCCAGGCCCTGAGTAAAGACAATCCGCGTAGCGTACGTACCTAAACATACCGAATGGACAGATCATCTGCAGGATATCTACCATTTCCCTTCTCTAGTTTATCCGATGACTAGATTGAGAAGAATTTCTAACTCGGCATGATTCAGTGCCGTAGACGGAACTATTTGCATTCCATTGATAAATATTTTCACGGTTCTCTTATCACTAAGGACGAAAGTGCTCTTTACAGTCGGTCCTCGATAATAGTTGTACGTTACACCCAGAATCGATTCAGGTTGCACAATGGTATGTTTATTTCTTTACATTTTAATTACTTTTGATCAATTCACAGTAAGCCCTGAACTGTATCAAGAAAATGAGTAAGGCTAAATCAGCAATTTATCATATAGGTTTAACTGGAGGAAAGACAATCGGCAAGAGCCGAGTTTCCCCCTCTCCATCCCTCCTCTCCATCTCGATGTTATTTATTTGTATTTATTTAATATTTTATTTATAACTATTGTTGATGATTGCTGAGGAGTAAATCGAATCGAACTGATAAAAATAAAGAATTTTTAAAATGTCTTTTCCGAAAGAATGCCTTTTTTCTCAACGGTGTTGACGAGTTCCTAGTTATAGAAGTTATTGACTTGATCCATTTCGATTACAGCGAACAGTTAGGTAAACAATCAGATGACAACATAATCAAATAAACAAGTTCATAAGACGGATGTCATGCCTTGTTTTGAAATGTCCTTCCAACAGTCTGTATTGCAGAGAAAATCTGACGCTATGGGATTGGCTAGGCCAAAACTCAGTGGCGGTGACGTACTGTCTTCGTAAGTTTCAGTTTGTTACAAGAGTTCAGTTTAATTCTATTATTTTAGTATAATTTATTGAATCTTGATTAGAATTTATATAGTTAGATCCGTAATTTGCAGGAAGATGTCATTTCCCGATTCAATACGGCTAGAACCCATCCGATTACCCCGTCCGACCATTCTACGAGAGCAGCCACCAGTTTTTGACATCAGCAGTGAGGAATTCATTGTAACTTTTCAAACTTTCTCGTATATAATTAATTTCCCCTGGGTGAAATAACGAGGATAAATAAAGCTCGTCCGGGTAAGTTTGCAACAGTAAGAGTAGTCTGCACTGCATCAATCGGGTCTTTTGGGTAACGCCATGAACTCGAACCTTTGTCAGATGGCTAGGGATTACTCACTTAGCATCCAAATTGGGTGTTAACTCATGGGAAGGCTTATCAGCACCCCAATGTCAGGTTTCACCTACCTAAATGAGTCAGGAACGAAGAATTTGGTTTTACTACATAGTTACACCGAATTTCATCGAAATTCCAACCCATTTTGTCCAGACTGCGAAACCAATGAACAGAGCTTTACACTTATTCTCCAGCATATTGCCTAGATTGAAAGACTGATCAACCCTCTGAGAGTTAGGCTATTGACGTTCGGATAAGAAAGGTCCTCTGTTTCAGGCCAACAGCAAGATTTGATGTCATATCCTCGTGAACGGTTCCGCGTACCATATGCGGCTACCTACTCGCCACATTCATTTCCAGATTATTTGAGAGTCCGTCAAATGGACACCGTTGATCCAGTGGATGTGTACGACAGACAGTCAGTTTATTTACTTGTTTACCCGATCATTGCCTTCCTTATTGCTTAAATGAATCGCTGAATTCCGTTCAAGTAGAAGTGAACCTCTATCCATTTCGGTAGACCCTGCTCACCATCGGTCATGCTCTACAACAAGACTCCTACCATCTTATGTTCTCACCTACCCAGTAAGGCCCTATAAAAATGAAAGCTGAGGTTTTGCCATATACCACACCCGGCCCGGTTTGGAGGGAATCATTTTTCTTGCTTGATTGAATTACAATTGTAATCGAATCCAAATGGAAAATTCAAACAAATAAAATACAGTGATTTAGGCTAACTCGATCTGTATCGCCAAGAAACTTGACATATCTTGGTCCGGAGGTTGCGCCACTACAAAAGATTCGGCCACCTGTTCAAGAAGATCTTTACTTCGCAGGACAGCCTCTACGAGAATCTCCACCGATTCCAAGAGTAGCAAGTAGTCCACAACAAATACAGTATCCTCAATCAGCAGTAGCGGGAACTGCACCTACCGTAACGGATATGGTACAAAGCTCCCATCAATCGAGCGAGTAAGTTCTAGTTTATCCGAAGGAATCGCTTCGATTTGGAACAAAATAGTCTTCTGAATTCCAATTTTGGCTAGAGCTTTACTCTCGATAGCTCGAGTGTGTTCTCTAGGAAGGAATTTGAAATTTTCGCTTCTCAGTTTCGTCTCATCCTAGTTTCCTTCAAACGGGGCCTATCAAGGAAATAAGAAATTTTAAAATTTCGGAAGTTGTGGACAGCTGGGTCATCACTTCAGAAATCTCCTTTTTTCAGCGCCCAGACCGTTCGAGCCCGAGCGCTTGCCCGGAATCCATTTTTGGGTTATCAACGGATTATCTTCATTTTGGCCAGATATCCAGCTTTGGTGTTGGCAATGGTGGCTTTGTGGAATGTCACAGGACGTGGCAAAGGAATGCCCAAAAGCAGTACCGAAGAAGTAAGTCATCTTATTGATTGATTGGTGATCGATTTTTGAAAATTCCATCTATCATCATCATCTCAGATTGCTTTTTACGCTGCTCTGACCACAGCTGGTATTATACTAATCTCACAAATGTTACTGCACAGTAATCACCATGGTTCCCTCAAAAAGGCACGGATGATGGTGAGAGTTCTTTATTAACAAGTCTCATTTGTTTTTGAATTAGTGCTTACAAAAAATTTATTTCTAGTGTTTCAGTGCTATTTGTACCACTTCGTGATGATCGTTGCCTTTTGCACTGCTCTCGTATGTATAGTATTCGCTGTCATCAATATCAACACATTTCGATCAAAAACGTAACGATTTTCTAGAAAATGCTAATTAATCAATATTCATGCTTTGCATACCCTTTTCTGGGGTGCCCGCCAAATCAGGTGTATCCAGGGACTCAGAGGGTTCAAGGGTTGAACCATGGTGGCCTATAGTCTGTTTCTTCTTACTTCTGGGCCTACTGGGCCTGTATAAATCTCAGACGTATTGGTCGGATAGGCTGATGTAATTGATGGGTATTCTGGGACCATTGGACTTATGGACGCAGGTCCCGCATGCTGTCGTTTACCGATAGCTCGAGAGTCCACCAGCCAGAGGTGCTCAGAAGTATGACAAATTCGCCTCCACATTTGCTCATGCATGAGCTATACCACCCTTAACGATATTTCTCTCACCTGGCTGAGGCCAAGCAAATAAATAAATATACAAAATCTATTTATAGTTTAAAAAACTATTATTTTCAGTCCCGTTTCCACCACATGCAAATATATGAATTATTCGCCATGCTACAGTAATCAAGAACGACTCACATATCTAGCTACCCTCATAGGTTGCAGTGGAGCTATCGTACTGTTAGCATTTGCCACATTCCTGTACGGAGCTATAGGTAGGTTTCTTCGATAATATTCTATAATTATGAAGCTTTCTGAGAAAAACTGAATTAAATTCTTCTGAATAATGGTCGAATCAAATGTTTTTTTAGTTGCTTGTTCAATCAGGTTTTGAGAGTAGCTTCGTCCACCTACATTTCCGATAAGGATCACTTTCGATTTCCGGTCAGATATTATCTCCGCGTGGAGAAGATCAAAGGGACTGGTACCCTGCTGAAAAAGGGCCATCACCAGTGGAAGTTGACCGAATAAAAAAAGAATTCACTCGAGTTGAATCCCGTTCTACTCAGAGGCGCGATAAAAGTGATTTCGTAGATTTCTCCCTAGCATGGACCCGTTACTCTTATTAGCAGAAGGGATGCTGTCGGGTTGAAAAACGGTCAAGAAAGGGTGCAATGAGGGCCCTAAAGCCGGCTCAGCCGACGTGAACACCCAAAAGCGGACGAGCTCCACGGTGTCGTAGAGGCTAGGGCAGAGGTTGCACCATTCGCGCCGAGAAAAACACGTTGCACGCTTGCAGCCTACTGTAGCCAGCTGTACGTAATGGCACAGCTCGTCCACAAACCCCTCCAATGCAACTTTTGCCATCACATTCTCGTCCGACCGCTAATTTTACTCGTTTTTCGGAGCCTTGCATGCCCTTGAACATGCAGATTTTCGCGTTTTCTTCGCTACTCCTACATCTGGGTTATCACTTCCTCGGTTCTTCTGGAACAAGATATCGCAAACTCTTCTTGAACCTCACCTTCAAATCTGCGTCTGAGCGGTTTGATTCTGCTCGACTAGGATGTTTTGAGAATTATTTAGAGCGTAAAGGATACTAACGGTGCGCCATAAAGAGTTGACAGTGCTAAGAAGAGCTCTATCTGACCTATCTTCCAAACTATGAAAGTCCACTCTGTCGTATTCCAGTGTTACACGAGCTCGGAAAGTATCGCGCAAGACCTCAGGAACCTCAGGTACCTCCTAGATCACTTTTGGAGCTGTTGCAGTCCTATCAATTAATATTGAGGAGAGCGCCTTCCCTGTTACCTACAAAGGTATCCTACAAACCCGGCCCGGGAGGCATTAGGGATTCGTTGATAGCTGCTGTTCATGTTTCGCTCTTCTAAAAGTCTAATCCTACCTCAGCCATTTACTTGTAATCAATCTGAAACGAGATTTTTCGAGATAAAAAGTTGTTTTGACCTAATTTGTAAGCTCTAGACAATGAAAACTTTCCAAACTTTCTCGAATTTCGGACTTCATTGAGCCTTTTCGAGAATTTATTGATGGCGTATAAGTAAAGAC